ATTTAAAAATTATATAAGAAATTTAGACAAAAAAATTGTATTCGTGCATAATCTTAAATATTTGTATTAATAATTAAAATTCCAAGATTCTTTTGTTCTGATATTCTATCTTGCCAAAAGTTCGATAATTATTTATCAATTAGATCAAGTAAAGATCATCATTTATTTCAACAATGATTTTTGTACATGTGAATTTTTTGATTATCAATCTACCCCAAAAATTGAATAAAAAATAAACAAGTTACGTTTGGTATTTATATAAATATTTTATATCAGATGTTAAAATTAAAAAAAAGGAAATGATACGTATAAATAATTTGTATATATGAATTTTTGTACAAATTTTAGTAACAAGATATATTTGGTTTATCTATTATGATTTGTTGAATACAAAAAATTTATTTGTGAAAGATAAACAAAGCTACATTTAAGAGTTTATGGATAAACCTTTTTTGAAGATTTTAGATTTTTTTATCATGTATATTTTAAAGTATTGAAAATACAAAAATAAAGTTATAAAAATAATCAAATTAGTAATATTACAACAATCTAAAGAAAAAATTGATTGTTTTAAAATGAAAATTTTAAAGAAACTGTTTAAGAAATTTAATAGAAAATCAAAGAAAAAAAATCTTTTTATTGCAACTAGAGATTATTCTACATGGTCGAATGACAATAAAGAAAAATCTTTTAATTCAATTTCTTCATTATCAATCGAACATGAAAAACAATTTACAGAAATAAAATTCTGTGAATGTATATATTTCACAAATTATAAAAGTTTTAAAGATTATTTAATTAATAAAGGAATTATAAATTCTTCTTTGAAAATTTATGAAAATACTAAAAATAAAAGATTAAATAGTCTTCTTTCTTGGATAGAATTTCATATTAGATCAATATTATATGGATTTAACGAAGGGTATAAATATCATTATATTAATAATACTTTGGATTTATTAGATGGAATAACTGAAAGAAATACAAAATTAATTGATTATTGTTTAGAAGAAGTAAATGAATATTGTAAAGAGTATAATATTAAATATATTTGGACTTGGAGTGATTTAGAAGATTATAATGAAAAATATCTTGCGTATTGATTTTTTAATTATTAATCAATTTTATTTATATTTATTTATGTATTATCAATTTTATATTTAATCTGTATATATTATTATAATAAATTTATCGTTATCATATTTATCAATGATATCATTATACATTATTTTAAATTTTTTAGAAGTTGATCATCATTATATAAATTTATAATTTTAAAATATTATTTATATTATAAATTATTTATTTGTTTATTTTTTTTAATATATTTTGTATTTTTAGATATGATTTCAAATTACCTTAACAAGAGAGAAATGTTTTACAAGAAAATAATTTAAATTTTTTAAGAACTATTATTCTTATCGATAAGAAATTCATGACAAATCTCATGATAATTTTTTTAGTAATTTTGATAATCTTTTCTGTTACGATGATTATTTTATTCTTTATTTTTATTTCTTGTTATAAAGAAATTATTGAGTAATGAAGAAATTATTTACTAAGAAGAAATAGAAATATTAACAATTATTAATATTTTTTTTTTAAGACAATTTTTTGTTCATTTGAATTTTCTAATTTTATTTTCAATATTTTTAAATTTTCATGTTTAGTAAATTCATTGATCAGAAATTTAGTCTTTTTATGATTGATCCTGTAAGAGACTATTTTTAAATAAACGAGATTTTTCATTTTTTCATTGATTAATAATAAATGAGTAACATTATGAATGGAATTGATCAATGTGAGAAATTTGAGGTTGTGTAATTTAATGATGTTATTGATCAAATTTTCGTTATCAGTATTTATTAACATGAGTTCGTCCATTTCTGTGGTTGAAATTTTATCAAAAAAAGGATTAAAATTTTTGGGATAGTCAATACATGTTAACGAGAGACCTTTTAGATTATTTAAATTTTTTAGTCTATCTAATTTTAGTGATTGACTGTATAAACCTATGTAAATTTTATGATTTTTCATATATTCGTCAAGTGTATTTATGAGATTAAAATTATCATGAGAATAAATTTTTTCGATTATGTTTGATTTTTTCAACAACAAATCAACTACTGTTATTATGATATCAGTAAGATCTCTACTATAATAAGCCTTTTCGTGAATGATAAATACATTATTGATATAAAAAGTATTGATTTTTTTCACAAATGAAAGATATGAAAATAAAGGTTGTGTACAGTATTTTATTGGAAAAAATTCATCATAAAGATCTTGTTTATCATTTGTTAGATTGTAAAATATGATTCGTTTTAATGAATTAGTTTTATTATTTTCGTATTGAAATTCAAACGGATTTTCCCAGAGTAATAGAACAGTTATCCTAGCCCACTTCCGTGAGACTATGACACAATCGAACAAAGATACGTTCATAGTATAAAGATATGATACGATAATATGTATTATTTCGTTGGAAAACAATATTTTTTAGATACAAAAAAAATTAAATTAAATATATTTATAAATTATTTTTATTATTAATTAAATGAATTTTGATACAATTTCAGTTATATATTATTAAATATATATTCAAGCAGAACAACATGAACGTATTGTATCTTATCTGCTCACAATAGTTTATTATGTAGAAGACTAATGAAAGGGTAGATGATTTTTGTTTTAGTTGTTAAAATCTAAAACAACTGCTATTAGTTTACGACAAACGTGTCGAGTTTGGCAAGTTGTCTTTCTTGTAGAATCCTTTGAAATCTTCAAAAAGACCAAAGTCATATTGTTTTTTCAATGGATAGCAAGCTTATCTCAAAAGTATGAGAAAAAACAACCAAAAACCGTAATTTGAACCAAGAAACAGGAGAGTGTAATCAAAAGACGAATGAAAACATAAACATATATTTTTCTTTAAGAAAATATAGGATTAAATACATGAGCTAATAACCAGGAGGGTCGCCGAAAAGAGTACATGACCTATGGTTCAATAATATCATCTAACGGATGTAAAATACCAGGAAAAGTATTCTCATGATATTATATCGTCAACTGCAGACGCACAATTTGCTTTTCGTTATAGTATGCACATGTATGATCGATGGATTTATTTCAGCTTTATTCTTTCAGGACTTTAACCTGATAGCGATACTCAAGTATTATGAGCGTAAACCAAGTTTCTTTGCAAAGAGCCGAATACCAAAAGAGCTTAAAAAAAAGAAACAATTATTGATTAATAACGATAAAAAAAAAACAAAATGAACTCTAACTTATGAGTATCCTATTTTATGCGTATACAACTTTTTGTGCATGAAATGCTACATCTGACTAGACATCTCATAATAGAGACTAGTACAGATGATGTAGAGTATTCAGTAGGCCTTGTTGTATATGAAGCCCAAACAGATACAACACAAGTGAAAGTTGAAAAAAAAATAAAAAAGTCGGAATTAATGATATATGTGAGAAATTCTATGTAATACAAGTTTTTTTAATTTAGGATTGATTTACGTTATCTTGAATGAAACTAATAAGGAATATCTTGCATATTTATTGATAAGGACAAAATTCCAAAATTCGATTTGTATTAATAATATAAAATTTTATTAGATAAGAGAAAAAAAAAAATAAAAGATAAAATATAAAGTAAAAAAAATAATTATAAAAATAAGATAAAAATAACGTGATAAAATATTTATAAAGATAAATTTGATAAAGTACATATTTATTTATATTGATTTAACTAGGTATTTGAGTGATTTTTGATATTGTAACGATAATATAGATTTTAAAAAAAAAATTGCTTCTGGATCAATATGATCGGATTTGGTAAGATTAATTTTTTTAAAAAAAATTTCGTATTTTGAAAACATGTGATTCAATTGCTTTTTCTTTTCTTTATTATCCTTTGTTTTTTTCAATGATTCGTAATCCATGATAAAATTTTTATTATTTTTTTCACGTTCGTCCATTTTGTCGTTAAAATTTTTAATTTTTAATATCTGTTCATCTAAGTATTTTTCGAGTTTTTCTCTTTTTTCATTATATCTTTCGATGATATAATTTTTATTTCTAAATTTGTATTTAAGATATAGATAATAATGTCTTTTATGAGGATTTTCTAACATAATAGTTATGTAATTTGCAACAATATATTTTTTAAACATTTTTCTTAAATTTTATTTGTTAAAAAATTTTCTAGTTCATTTATAATTTTTTTGGTATTTGAATTAGTAATATTAAATTACTAATTATTTATCTTATTTGTTTTGTGTACGAATATATGATTTATCAATTGTATCTATATTTCATGTACCAATTAAATTTATTTGAATATCAATTTATTAATTATATGGATTATTGTAAAAAAATAGTTAAATACAATAGTTTTCCGATACTGTGATTTTTTTTCATCTTTTTACAACTTTGATGATGGTACATTTGGTTTTGAGTTGAAAGGCTTCATCATGTAGGATAAATTAAGTAACCAAAGCTCTCATGGTTTGCCCTGAGATATTATTAGGATTTGTAACTCTGCATGACGCAAACTCAAGCTTAATCATATAACCTAAAAGTTGTAATTGATCATTTTTATTTAAAGATTTATTGGTGTTACTTTGTATAGAGGTCAATTCTGAATGCACTTTTAGTGATGAGGATTGATTTCGTATGGTTTAGTGGCTACAAAAGTACATCTCACTCATAGAAATCTTTAAAATGTTTTTTTTCATGTTCATGAGAAATTACCTTTCCGTGGTGAACATGATGAGTAGATACAAATTTTTGTATCGAAACTAAAATTTCTCAAATTTATTTATTGAAAGATACAAATTAAAATTTTAATAAATTTATAAAAAATAATAATATGATTCAAATTTAAAAAGAAATGATGTATAATATTTTATTTCTGTTAAAAGATTGATAAAAAAGTATTTTATATTAATGAAAAAGATTTGAAAAAATAAATTTAAATTCATTTTAAGATTGGAATTTATTAAATGTAAAACGAATAAATATTTTATTTTAATTAATAATACAAAATTTGAGAATTATATTTTTCTTTTAATATCTGTTTTCAAGTTTATCTGATATTCATTGTTTTTTCCAATCTTTATTTTTAATATTTCCACGTTACTGTAATCAATACACGTATTGATTATTTTTTCTATATCACAATTGAATTCTTGAGATTCTATTTTTAAATATGATAAATTTTTCAGATGTTTTAATAAGATAATTACATTTTCGATTTTATAAACATAATTGATTAATGTGAGAATTTCGAGTTTTTGTAATTTGATAAGGGTATTGATTAAATTTTTGTTTGAGATATTTTTCAATCTGAAATTTGTCAGATTTACGTTTGAAATATTATCGAAAAAAGTATGAAAATCGTTATGTAGACGTACATTTGATAACATCAAACCATTTAAATTTTGAAGATGTTTTAAATTCTTCAAGTTAAATGTTGTTCGACGTAGAGATAAATAAACTTTATGTAATTTTATATAATTATTTAGAGATTTGATATTATCAAAGGTTTCAAAGATATAAATAAAATTAATTTTATTTGAAGATCTAAATAATAAATTGACTATATAATATATGTTTTTGAATATATTCTTGATTTGATAAGTATTTATTTGTCTCACGTATGAAAGATATTTAAAAAGAGGACGTGATGTTTTTTCTATGGTAGAAAATTCATCTTTCATTTTTCGTTGTTCGATAGAATATAAATTGTAATAAATGATCCGTTTTAAAGAATTAATTGTTTTAATATTATGATATTTGAACGGATTTTGCCAAAGAATGGGAATTACGATCATAGCCCAATTACGAGAAACAAAAATGTAATTAAAGATGAATTCATTTTTATCGTATAGATATTCTATCATGTAATATATTAATTCATTTGAAAAAATCATGATTGAAGTTCATTAAATATACATTTTTTATTTATATTTTATTTATAAATCTCATGTATTAATAATATATAAATAGGAAGATGTCGCAAGATAATTTTATAAATCATGGCTAATTTTGATTTTACATTTAGAGTGATTAGTGATAAGTAATTATTAATTTTATTTTATTATTAATTGAAACGATGAATAAATTAATAATTTATGATATCAGATTCCATTTTATACATGGTCAGAGGATAGACAAGATGTCTGATGTTTTAAAAGAACAATTTACAACCGAATGGTTGTTGGATCATGAAGGCAAGACAAAAGATATAAGAGTTCGTGATATCGATATTGCTAGAGAATTGTTGGAATATTTAGATAATGGCAAAGACATGAATTACAAAAAAATGTATAATAGCAAAAAATTATGTATTAGTATCATTCATTATGGTTGGACTCAATAGCCGATCGGATATAATGATGAGTGTTGTAAAGAAGCGAATGAAGAATTTCGTACAAAGTTAAACAAAGCAATCAATGATTATGATAATAATGTACACGTGAATGAATTTATAACTTGTAAGATTTAAATGGTAATTTCTAAAACAAGATATTTTCAAAGGTGATTAATAATAAGAATAAGATATAAATTTGTCAGATTTTAAATTGAGATTAAATATCTTTAATGATGAAATCAAATATAAGAAAAAAACTTAATAAAAAGATACGTGTTATCCTTCTTTCTCTTCAGTATTTACAAGTAATTTTCCCTAATAAAATTCTTCAAACTATCTTTATATTTATTGAGAAATTGATTAATGTCATTGTTACATGTAAACATTTCGAAACAATTATTAAAAATCATCAGTTTAAAGCCGAATGGATTATTTATCATTATGGAAAATTTCACGCTCTTTTTATGCGATTTGATTAGGATCAAAATTTATTAATATGATTACCGTACAAACTATTATTAATAAAGGAGGTGTTGTATCTAGATATTTTCTTCAGAAACTCCATCTTTCATTTGGTGAATATGATCCTATATTATTATGAAAAAAACAAGAAATGAATCCAAATTTAGTAATAAAGCAAATCGAAAATTGGTGTTATAGTTTACCTCTTTTGATTTATATCTATCTTTTAAAAGAAGGAGAAGAATTGTATGGAACAGAATTATATTTAAAAGGAAATGATATGGAATTGTTTCATTTTCTTAGTAGTGGACCATATATTATTAATGAAGCTTCAGATGTTATTAAAAATAATTTTAAGGATATTGAAAGATTAGTTAATGATTTTAAATTTGGACCATTTCCTCCTAGAATTGGGAGTGGTAATGAAGGAATTAATGAAATATTTCCTTCTCATGATGGATTTGAGAATAATCAACAAATAAATGTTATTGCTAGATGTATTTTACTTGATGTGAGATTTGTTAAATTATGGAAAGAAATAGGTTATTTTGACATTTGTAAAGATATTAATGATCTTGTTTTACAAGGTGCGATGCTTATTCTTTTTCCACCATCAGGCTCAAGTAATTGGATACTTGATAAGAATCGTATCGTTGAAAGATTTAAAGAATTGATAGGTTTAGGATTTTTTTTGAATGATAAAGTTATTATTAATATTTTTAATCTTTATATTAATAACTTTGAAAAGATTGGTCCTATTTTTATGCAATCTTTTATCGAATTTTTAGTATCGGATGATCTTTTAACAAAACCTCGATATATTTTATCAATTCTTTTAAATCATTCAATAACATTAATAAATATAGATGATAAGAACAAAATGCTTAGTTTTATTTCAAAATATAATATATTCTATAAAGTTTTTGAATGTTAAATTAGCAAAATATTTTTTTATTCCAAAATTATGAATTATTAATAAGATTATATGAAATTACAAATATGAACATATATAAAAATAAAGAAATTATGTATTAATATTTTATGCGTTAAATAAAAATTATGAAAACCAACACGTTTTCAAATGAAGTGTTTTTGATGATAATCTCATATCTACACGATACGTTTCTTTTTAATTGTGTCATGGTCTCTCGTGACTGGGCCAGTATGGCAGTTCCGTTACTCTGGGAAAATCCGTTTGAATTTCAATATGAAAATAATAAAACTAATTCATTGATTCATTGAGAAGAGTTATTTGTTGTTATTTAGTTTCTCTACCAGAATATATTAACGAAAAAGGAATTATTGTAGAGAAATATGATTCTATTTTTTTTGATTATATTAAATATATAAGAAAGATTAATACATATCAAATAGAAAAAGTATTCCATTCAAAAATATCTCGTGATGATCTTGTGACATTTGAAGTAATCAAATTATTATTTGAATTATCAGATATGATTGAAAAAATTCACATACATAAAAGTTTTTATAATTTTAAATATTTGAATCAGAATATAAAAAATCATAATATCCACATAACTTTACATGAATCATATCTTAATTTAAATGAGATAAATGATACTAAAAATATTACAAGTTTTAAATTAAAAAATAATTATAGATATATATCTTTATCTGATATTTTCAGATTACAAAATATAAAGATTCTTATATTGATCAAATGTTCAATGTATAGTAATGATGACTATATATCTATTATGAAAGAATTGAAAAAAATGATTTATTTCAAGATAATTTGTACAACAATCAATGAAAATGATGCGAAATATTTATTTGATCAATCTTTAAAATACGAAAATATCAAGAAAATCGAAATAGGAAAATATGAAAAAGTTCTTTATGATTTTGATAAATAAATATAAGAATTATTAATTTATTTCAATATAAATATATACATTTTTTTGATATTATTATTAATTAATAAAAAATGCCAAAAGAAAAACGTATGAGAAAAAAAAAGAAAAATCATAATCATAATTTAATTGCTAAATTAGATTATGATTGTTTTCATATTATGATATTGTTTTATCTTCCTTTGGAGATAAGCATCTTTGATCAAAAATATAAAACTATAAAATTTGTAAACAGATATTTTCATCAAATTTATCACGACATATTTAAGAAACCAGCAACTAGATATTTTTTAATAAAGAATAGGAAATATGATTTATTTAATATTCCGATTATTTATGATTTCAAATTACAAGAGGATAAAAGTAATAGATTATTTATTATCTTTCATGAAAGAGGAATAAAAAAACGAAGGTTGGTCAGAAAAAATAATATAGTGAATGCAATGGAAGAATTTTATATAAATGATAATATAAATGATCGTAGATATTTTTTGATCAATTCATTGATTTATAATGAGAATGATTACAAAAATATATGTAATGAATGTAATATTTTAGATTTTTGTTCAGAGTTTATATGTCATAGTTCAAGTTGTCTACTTTTTATTCAATATCATAAACATATTTTATGTAAGATTTGTTATAAGAAATATTTAAATAAAATAAGATTTTATTCATAGATTAACGACAAAAATTTAAAAAATACAAATGTAATTTAATCATATATTCATGATATTCACGTGAGTAAATGTTATTTTCTGAAAAACATAAATTATTTTCTATGTTATATGTATTATTTTCTAAATAATTATTATTATTTTCATATATGTCATTATCATAATTATTAAAATCATTTTTTTCGTATGTAATTTCATCATTTTTTATATTATTACATTCACATATATTTTCTTTATAGTTAATTTCGTAATTTTCTATTGGTTCTAGTTTAATAGTATTAACATTACATTTTCTTTTTGGGAATTTTTCATCAAATCGTATTCTAATTTCTTTTTGGAGTTTTCTATATTCGTTTTTTATCATCTCTGGCTCTTTGTTCCAACGTTCACTGATTATTATTGATGCATTTGCCATTGGAAGAATTATACCTCGTTTTTTGAGTTCTTTTTGATAGATAGTATGATAAATGATAAAACTATTAGGTGTTTTTAATGATGACTTATCATCTGGGTTTTTCAAATTGAGGTAATCATCTATATTAAAAGATGGTGGAAATGGTAATTGAATAACTGGGATAAAATCTTTATAAAAAACCGTGTTATTCATCTTTGATGAGATAATCATGAATTTAATTTGTTTATTTATAATAATTTTATTAATAATTATAATTAGTAAATTATTACAATTCGGATTATAATCACCGAATAATTACTAATCTAAATAATATATAAAGTGAAAAAAAAAATCTTATATGTGATTTATTAAAAAATGCCTAATATTATTAATCTCTTAATTGAGATTATTATTCATATTTTACTTTATTTAAAAGATTTAAAAATTGTATTTACCTGTAAAGGTTTAAATCAAATCATAAATGATTCTTTTTTCAAATTAAGATAGTTTATCTTGAATTATGAATTTTTTTCAGAAGAAGAATTGATTCGATTTGGGTACACTTTCTTTAATATACAATTTATTGAGATTATTATGAATAATAAGAATAAATTCATCGATGATAATAAAAATATTGAAAGAATTTTATTACATATTGCTACTAATTTACACACAACAAAAAAAGATGATAATAGAGTTAAAGCATTATCTATATTTAAAATTATCGAGAATCAATATTGGTTAGGATATTATTACCAACAAGGATATGGTAGTCTTGAAATTGACGAAACAAAAGCTATGGAATATTTAAAGAAATCTATACATATAGAAAATTATCCAGATGCTATGTGTAGATACGCAATCCATCTTATTAAAACAAGTGAAAGGAAAGAGGATGGAAAGATTAAAGATAAAGAAATTCAATTTGAGATTACTCATTTATTTAGAAAAGCTGCATTATTGAATAATAATGATGGATGTTATTTTTATAGAGATATAATTTATAATAGAAAATTAGGTAATGAAGCAAATAAATTAGAAGGTTTTACATTTATAAACCAGGCTGCAGAGAAAGGTCATGATAAAGCTAAATTGCTATTAGAAAAAATAACGAGAAATTTTAATTCATTTACTAGATTTTAGTTGAGATTAATAAATTTTTATTTTAAAATTAAGAATAAGAATATGAAATTAAGAAATATATATGATTTAAATTATTAATATGAAATTTTATAAAATAAAGAAATTTGAATATGTGTTATTTAATAAAAAAAAATGATTCAAAATAAAAGAATTAAATATGTTAAAGAAAATGAAGATATTGAATATGTAAAAAATCCAAATATCCCTACAGAAATAATCACAATGATTCTTAAGATATATGAATTTGATGATGTAAAAGAATTGATAAAATTTGCTTTGGTATCAAGATTATTTAATTCATTGATAAAAAAATCATTTGTCGTGATGTATATTATTGGAGGTAAATAAAAAAAAATCATTATTAAATTTAAATTATTAATATATTTTATTAATGATAGAAGTAATTTTAGTAGAATATAATATTTACAATCCAAAGACAAGTTTTAAATACAAAGTTGTAAAGGATCAAATTAGTTACACAATAAATAAAAAAAGATTTGGTAATTTGAGATCAATTTATTATGATTGGAGGTAAACAAAAATTTATTTTATAATGATAAAATTACTAATTTACTAATATGATATTTATTTATTTTATAGTACCACAAATACTTTGATATCAAAATGTAAAAGTATGAATCGTTTTGAAAAAATAGAATATATCATTCCCCAAAAAATATTTCATGATAGATTTTTTAAATTTCTATATGTGATTAAAGATATAAACCAAAACAAAGGACTTGAGGTTTTTCATGTGATGAAAAACAAAAGTTACCTCATTGAAAAAAGTTATAGAAAAATGAATTTTTGGAAATTAGTAAATTATGATACAGAATCACATTATTGTTATAACCTGAGTTATTATTTTACGGATTTTATCTTAAAAAAATTATTATTATTTAAATATCTCAAAGAAAAGAATGACAAAATAAAAGAGATGTATGAAGGTTTATTTAAATGGGATGAATTTTAAATATATCAATCATGTATTTATTACAAACTTTATTATATTTGTATTTTTTATTACTTTTTTTTATTTACTCTTAAATGAAATAATATTTGATTTGAAATATTTTAATAAAAAATTATTGATTTTACAAGATATTACACCATGTATACGGATTTAAATATCCCCAACTATTTGATATAATAAAATATAATATATTAAATAATAAAAAAAAAATTATTAAACGTAATATTTATTCTTACTTAGTTGGTATAAAGAAATATTGAGGACTTGGCATGATAATAATCGGTTGTGCGTTATCAGCTGGAGGGGTTTCATCATTTGGTTTATCATTTTTAGTGTCTTTATCTTGTTTCTTTGGATCAGAATTTTCGTCTGGTTTAAGTTGTTCAGGGGTATTTGAAGGAGGAGGAGGATTTTGAGGTAGGAGATTAATGATAATTGGTGTATTTCCAGGAGTTATAATGTATTCTATTTGATAAAATTTATTATATGTTTCGTTTGGATAATAAGTCTATTTAAATAAAATTGTATAAATAAAGAATATTTATAATTGTAGAAAATAAAAAAAAAAATAAAAATGAAAACAAAAAAATCAGATACAAATTAGTAAGATTTTTTTTTTTTTTTTATATTCAATTGATAAAATAATAATTAAATATTTTTATAGTGATCGTATTTTGAAAGAAAAGATTAAACAAGCTTTAAATAATCCACAATTGGATGAAAAAGAGAAAAAAAATCTTATTAAATCTAGAGGAGTTTTTAATCCATCACAATAGAGAAGAGACAAATTTTATAAATATTTTGGAGATATAGAAGTTGGAATTTTTATGATGAAATTTAGAGATGATTAAACAACTATTATAAAAATACCAGAAAACAGACAATTACAAGAACATGTCTATTCAAAAAAATATAACGATTTATTAAAAAAATATAATGAATTATCAGTAAAATATGATAACGTACTAGATTTTGTAAGAAATCAATATAATGATTTAGAATTTTTTTTAAATCAATAAATTTATTATTTAATAAAGAAATTTAACAACAAGAATTAAAAAAATAACACTTTAATTTGAACTAAACATGTTTGTTAAATTACTTGTTTCAAAAATAATAATTTCATTATGATAAATTTTAACTATTTTAATATCAGTATTTAATAAAATATAATTATCTTTAACTAAAAAAAATGTTCCTTCATTACTGGTAAAAGAAAAAGAAAATCCTTTATTTTTTTGTAAATTTTTTAAATTAATAAGTAATTCGTCTTCGTAAACTCTCATAATGATACCTGTTTGTTCTTTAATAAATTTAAAGACAAAATAAACACCATCAACAAAAAAATAAAATAGAAATTTTTCATTATCTTTTGTTAAGTTTTGGTAATTAAAATCATTTATAAAATCTGGATAGAGAGAATCATTTTTTTCACGAGACATTTTTAGATTTTTTTTAATTAATAATTTATTTAATGTTTATTTATAAAAAAATATAATTTTTTTTTTTTTTTTTTTTTTTTTTTTTTATTATAATGCCATAGTAGAAACTTTATTTATAAGATTAGAACATATGT